TAGGAATAGGAATAGGAATAGGAATAGGAATAGGAATAGGAATAGGATAGTTCAGTTGGAAGGGACATGCAAAGATTATCCAATCCAGCTGTCTGACCACTTCAGGATTAACCAAAAGTTAAAATATACTAAATTATACTAAATGTCTCTTGAACACTGACAGGCATGACTATCTTGCTAAGAAACCTGTTCCAATGTTTGACCATCCTCATAGGAAAGAAATTTGTCTTAATATCTATTCTGATCTATATTATGCTCCTCAGCATAAAAACAAACAAACAAACAAACAAAACCAAACAGCTGTATCTCTGTATCTCAGTTCCACCTCAGAACAAGACTTAGTTATGCACCATACACCCACAAAGCCATGATTTCCTTTGGAAAAGTCCAAGTTGGCAGGAAGAGAAATATGGTGTTACCAGAAGGCCACTCAGATAAAACTGGGAGGCCTGCATTACAGTACACATCACTTAGTGCATCTACTCCAACTCAAATGACTGCTTCTTTGAAACTGTGGGGATTAATGTCTTTTTTTAACTATTGGTAATTTGGGAAGGATTTGAATGTTCAAAAAGAAAACAAAACCTGTTTGTGCTCCATTAATAACCTCCTAAAAATCCAGCAATAGTGTTTGTAAAATTTATTTGGTTCATTATGTCTTTTGAAAGATGTTACAGATTCACTTACCTGTTCTGATTGTATTGGACATTCTGTGTCAGATCAACATTTAGCATAATGAAATCATGTACATGGCAACATGAGAATGGTTCCTTGATCTCAGAAGTGTTTGTTTTACTGGACCATTTTCTCATCCCAATTAAAGCATAGTGAGTGACATTAGGAGTTGCTTCAATACGTTGCAGAATGTGCTTCAATGAAACATTCCTTTCAGTCCGTGTATAGTCACTACAGCAATTAGGAAAATGTGTTGAAATATAGAGAGAATAATTAGAATCTTATTCGGCTGAACAATAGTTCTCAAGTCCATAGTAGTTACCAGGTAGATAGCTTCAATGTTGTACTGCTTTATTGCAATTTTTCACTTCCCATTTGAGGGTAGACTCAAAATTTAAAACTATCTAGCGCTTATGAGGTGGGAGACTGATATGTCAGGTCAGAAATTTACCTTAGATCTTTCAAAGTATTCACTCAGATTTCCAGATTTTTAAAGTTACATAGATAATGTTGCAGTGTACCTGGATAATGATCACTGCAGGGTTGCTGACTTTGTGCCAGAACTTAAGTGTGCAAGCTCGTCCTAATCTACCTCTCAAATCCATAAGCCTCAAAGCTCAGTGAGCGTTTTTCTTTTCGAAGGTTTGCTATAACTCCTGCATTGCCATCATTCTGGGAATAGACAAAGACATGTAGAACAAATAATGTTCTAAGGTTACGGAAATAAAAATACTGTTCGAAGACCTGGTGTATTGAAAGAGCCACACAGAGTGAAACTGACAAACAATCCAGCAGAAAGCAGTTGCCTGATTTGCACAGAAATGTCTTTCAGCTTCCTTAGAAAAATCCTACTGAAAACGTACACATGAATGGCTGTGTTTGCTCAGTGTATGAAGGACTGTTTTCAGAACTTGAAATCTGCAGTTCTAGTTTGAACCAGAGCAAGGCACTTAAATCCTCAGGGGACAGAAAAGCAAAACAAGCAGTAAACATTGTGGAAAACAATTTTTCAAGTGGCAAATATTATGCTCTGCTTGTACAGGGTAAAAGTAGTATACGAAATGTCATTGTAAAACTGATATGCTGTGAAAGCTTAAAAGAGATCAGCTGAAAGAGCAAGAGGTCTTCTATTTACCTTTTCCTGTCTCCTGAACAATCAACTTCTACTGCATTCCACATAACACAGGAGTCATCTGAAATGACAATGAAAGGCCAAATGTCCTGCGGCTTTATGCCCAGCTCCTCCTGCCGATTTCGTTCTAGCTCCAAGTTATGATAAGACAGCTCTTTGATCAGGAAGTGTGCCGCACCTGAAACCAAGGACATAATCTATAAGATGAAAAGTAGGGGCAGAAATTGTTTGCTTTTAACTTGAAATCCTTTAGAAGAGAATATTTCTGGACCCCAGGATAGGACTCACTCTGAAGGCTTCAATGTCCTAACACTCCCCAGAGCCAACATAGTGTATCTGTGGCCAAGATAATGACTGAAAGAAACCCACTGGAAAGCATGCAAAATAAAGCCTGATCTCTGTGGTAAGATTTCTTAATATCTGAAGGGTTGAGTGACTGATCATTTTAACCTGACAGACAGTGCCTCAACTATTGTAGTGTAAACTAGAAATGTGGGTTAACATTAACTGAATGACATGGGAGTGATTTCTCTTGATTCTCTATTCTCAGTGATTGTCACTACTGCTGTCTACAAATTGCATCACTAATGCGAGGTGCTGAATACTTCACAGATATTATATTAACAGAATCTACCCAAGAGATGTATCTGACTGGTATGCTCATTAATCTTTACCCATCTCATTTCTCCCACACACACCTGAAGCTGTAATAGAGGGCTTCCAGTCTCATGAACTCAGTTGTTTCACTTCCATGAGATGAAGCAGTTACCTCCTCTACCAGAAAGTGTGAGCACAATTCAGTTGAGCAAACAGAAGCATCTAGCAATATTTGAACCTCTCTGAGTACCTGAGATTCCTATGCAGAATTAGCTGGAAATAGCATGCAACTTAGTTCTAGAAGGCAGAGTAGGTAATTCCATCTGAATTAACTACCCTCATTTCTATTTAAAATCAAGAGAGAAGAAAAAGTATTTTCATGTGATTCATCTAGCTTGTTCTAGGTGATCTGGATTAAGTGAACTGCACCAAAGACTGTTACACAGACTGTTACACAAGACTGTCTTCAAAGAGAATCCAGATCATCAGATATGGTAGCTATAATATCTATATCTGTATCTACATATATCTACATTTCAATTTGAATAGCACCACCTCAAGGGCCCAAGTCACATGTCCATATTTTTTTATGTCACACTTCATGTCACACTTACCCACTCCTGCACTGTTGAAAATGCTTGGAAGAACAAGCATAATGTGGTTGGGCCAGTACTTTTTATATATGGCCATTTCGTATTCCTTGACAACTAAAACATGCAGATGACTGGCTCCATCCATTGCGTGATATAAATTGAAAAGCCCATGTTCATGGCGCCCAGTGGTGGGAGTAAAAGTGGGGCTTTTTATGAAATCTTCACTCTGTAAGTGAATCAAAGATAAGTTTCTTTATTAAGCTGGATAATGTTTAAACAAGAACCAGCTCCATCAACAGAGCAAATTGGTTTAAGTTTCACTACATTGCTACATTTAAAATCAGCTTAATGGGAAAATAAACAAGTTTTATAAGAGTTGGAAAAAAAGAAAACTCCATCTACTAACTTATCTATCTGGTGAGACAGTGGTGAATTGGATAGGACTGGTAATTTTTACTGCCAGCTACTCATGGACCTTGAGGCTAGATCTGGAAAAGGGTTCAGATCCGTATGACAGAACATGGTAAGAAACACATTAGTCCAAAACTGTAATATAAGTCTTCTGACTGGCTATCATCCAAACTTGAATGCATTTAAACTCATTAAGTACTTTCAGGTTTGACAGTATATCTCCATAGTGCCCTGTTTCTACAAACATCCAGGACTATTCCAGCCTGAGGAACTGATTTCAGGCTGATAGGGACCCAAAAGGAAACTACGCCTCTTCACAGCCCTCACAGTTAAGCACTACACATTAAAAATGTCAAAGCACAATATGATGGACGGGTATTAATTTCTACAGATTTAATTAAAGTGCACTGAGAAAAATATTTTATAGTAGTTTTATAATCTAGGTTTATATCTCACAGCACTTTTCAACCTTGCATCAAGGCTGCAGGCACCATTTTGGAGTGGACGAACAGATAAAGAAGCAAAGGGAAAACAAACAATTTTGGCAAAGCCTCAGAGCAAGT